TCTCATTCCCTAGGGAAAGTAGGTCTGGCCTTGTGCAGTCTCATGGTCGAGCTTTGTATCTTGGGGTGGGCCTGAGCATGTCAGTATCTGAGGGTGCATCTTGTTAGCAAGGCTGGCAGTCACGGAACGTCCTTGGAATTGTGCACCTACAAGCACATCCCGGTGTTTGTAGAAGCTGGCCGGGGTTTGTAGTGCGTCCGTCCTGTGGCTCCCTGTGGTCTCTGGGACTTGTCTGTGGTCTCCAGAGAGAATCCCTGTGTCCCTGGGGTGTGTGGTCATTACATGTCTGCAGAGGCCCTCTCGGGGCTGCCTGGGTGTCCAGACCCCTCCACTTGGCTGTGCTTACTCTGAGCCCCCTGCCTTCCCCAGCGGGGCCTCTGTAGTTCCCCCAGGCGTCTCCTGCTAGTGCCCCAGGCTCTAGAGGCAAGAACTCTGGCTCAGGGCGCATGTCCCTGCCCCATGTCTCACAGCAAAAAAGGCACCGACCCAGTCCTGTGATGGCCACTGCCTTGGTGCCCAGCATGTGGGTACAAGGTGGGTTGCTGTGATCTGCCTGATCAGGGAGCTGTGTGACCACTGTGCGTGGCTGGGGCTCAGCTTCCCATGCACATGTGTGGCAGGGCAGGTCATTGTGCTTGTTTCCGTTCCTGTGTGTAGGGCTGGTGATGTCGGGGGAGAATGAGTTGCCACATAGTATGTCTCCCATGTCTTGGGCGACCCTGAGGGGGCATGGCGTGGCAGGAGTTGGACTCGGTGAAGGCTTGTGTTTTGGTCTGGGAGGGGCTAGGAGCTTCCTTTCTGATTCCCTCCTTCCCTGCGGCCTCAAGGGAGGGCTGAGGGAGTCTAGCCTGATGTCCCCAGGCCTGTGCCCCCATCTCCTGTATACTCTTTGCACCCCTGGGCACCTCTGGGAATGAGGGGTGGCGACGATCCTCATTCTGTCTGTCCCCTGTGTGCCTGCGGATTGGGGCAGGGGCTGGCTGAGCCTGGCTGGGTAGTAAGCACTGTCTCCTCATTCAACCACTGCACTGCACCCACCCCTGGTGCTGCCAGGTGGGGACACAGGTGGCTCAGATGGCCCCTGGCCCTGCCTTCCTGGGACACCTGTCCAGGGGAGAAGCAGACCTCTCCTCAGACAGTGGCAGCCGGTCATGCTCCCTTCACCCTAGCCCTGGGAAAGGTGAGACTGGCACATTTGCTTGGCCTGGGCCCTTTGTTCATTAGTTCATTTGTTCGTTGGTTGTTCATTCATTGACACAACTGCAGTAACAGTTAACAGCGGCTAGCTATACTGAGGGACTCTCCAGCCCATTCTACATGCTTTACTTGTGTCATCTCATTCACTCAAGATATTCCCAAGAGGTAAGGACTATCACTCTGCTGGATTTGCAAAGGAGAATGCTGAGGCCCAGAGAGGCTCAGTGACTTGTCCAGGAGCACACAGCTTGAGATGGTGGAGCCAGGACTTGAGACTGGGCCATCTGCTTTTAAGTACCAGCTGTGTACTGAGCCCTGCCCTGAGCCAGCCCTGTGCGCGGCAGTAGCCAGGAAAGACAGGATGTCTTCCTGGGGGAGCCCAGCCATTGAGGAGATAGTAATTAGGAGGCCCACACAGACAAATGTAACATTGTGTCTATGATGGTGCCCTCAAGGAGAAGGTGCGTGAGGTGGTGTGAAGGAAGAGGAAGGGGTAAGGCAGAGGTTGGGGTGGGGGCATGCTGGGAGCCAGGCCAAGGAAGAGTGTGCAGCAGCCTGCTGGGGGAGGACGGTGCTGCCCCTGCTTGAGCAAGGTGAGCAAGGCTTCCCAGGCTCTTAAAAAGATCCACTTCCAAGGCCAGGGCACCCCAAAACTGCATCATTTTGTGGGGTTCCCCTAGTGTGGGGCCTGGTGCGTTCCTGGAGGCATCTCCTCTGTGGTTTGCCTCTTGCCCGTAGTTGAAATACACAGCTGCTTCCTCGGGTTGCCCACTGGGGCCTGGTCCCCTAGACAGCTTCCCTACGGCGGGGAGGGGGTGTGGCACACACTGGGCCCCGATGGCAGTGTCTAGGACATGCCTCAGGCTTGCCCTGAGTTTTCAGGCTCAAGGCTGCGTGAGATCCGGGCCTTGTGAGTCTGTCTTGTGTCTTTCCCTGCTCCTCTGAGTGCAGACTCATGCAGGCAACAGCTTCACTCATTTGCTCCCCAGATATTCATGGCCACCTGCTGTGTGCTGGGTATAGCCCAAGATGCCAGGGAGCCACCACTGTTCTGGGAGGTCAGAGAGGGGCCCTAACTTTTGTTAGGGGGTCAGGACTAGTCTCTCTGAGGAGGTTTTATGGGCACTAAAACCTGAATATCAAGAAAGGGTGAGCTGTGCAGTTCTGGGCAGTGAGGACCATAGGTCCAAAGGCCCTGAGGCTAGGACAAGCTCTGATATGTCCAAGACGCGGCAAGGAGCAGGCCAGCATGCCTGAGCGAGGAGACAGGCCATGGTGGCTGGCTGGGCAGGGCTTGGTTAGGCCGCTGCCCCAGCAGGTGAGATACCTGGGAGAATCTGTTCATCTGCTTACTGCTTCTTCAGCTTCCCTCCTCACCGAGGCAGCTTTTCTGATACTAGTTCTGGTTGTTGTTAGATAGTTGCTTCTGCCCTTGTTCTCTAAGTCCCTGGGGTTCTTTCTCTGGAGTGGAGGCCTCAGCTGGTACTAGGGCTACTGAGAAGCAGGAAGCTGAGGGGGTATTGACCAGAGGCAGAGTTAGTGCTTTTGTCACCTGGTACTGGGTGACCATGGTCAGCGACATCCCATCTCTGGGCCTCAGTTCCTGGGTTGGGAAGCAGGAAAGAAGAGAACTCACCTCCCCGCCCACCCGGGAGTTTTTGCAGGGCCTGGCATTGCCCGTCTGCATGCCTGGGACTGGCCTATGTGCAAGCCAACAGCCATGAAGGGGGCGCTTGCTGGAGCCACGCCCTACCCTGGATGCTGGGTGCAGCCACAGCTGACCAGGTCACTATCCTGCCTTCGTGAGCTGCCAGTAGAGTGGGCACAGCAGCAGGAGACACTACTGAGTCTGCCATGTCAGGAGCTGACAGCACTGGAGAGATGGACTGTCCTAGGCCTGCTACCTTGACTTTTAGGAGAGCCCGGTACCTGCCCATTTCTGCCCCTCTGCAGTCCCCAGGCTCCTGACCACTGTGGCTCCCGCTGGATCCTCACAGTGTCCTCCTCCCTGGTTCTCTGCTCCTGTCCTGCCTCACACGCCGCCCCACATGTAGCCACAGTAAGCTTGTTAGGGACCCTGTGAGGCCCAAGTCATCACACCCTCCCTGCTCAGTCACCACACCCTCCCTCCGTACACCATCTCCCCCTTGCCTCCCAGATAGGTCTGTTCGCCCTCACTCGCCTTAGGGCAGCCTCCTGGCCACGTCCCTGCGTCCAGCACAAGCCTACCTTGGAACCTTCACCCTGGCACTTCGCACTGCCCAGCTGGTCCTCCTGCAGAGCCATGTGGCCCCTCAGGTCTGTGCTCTGGTGCTCGAATTCGGTGCAGCCTGGCTGCCACTTCACTGAAAATGCCATTCTCGCCTTGCCCCAGCACCTCGTGAGGGTGGCTTCGTTTCCTCCGGACACCACCCGCTGCTGTGCAGATTCCACATGCTGCTCTCCCTGCCCGGCTCCTTCTCTGACACAGGTGCTTCTGGCCATCCCATCCACTGCCGAAGCCCTGGCCCGGCTCAGCCTGCCTCAGTAGTGATCCGCAGGTGATCACTCAAGGGGTGGGTGCTGTGACTTGAGGGTTCACTTGTGGGTGGAGAGTATTTGCCCAAGAGGGATGACGAGTGTCAGTCCCAAAGCCCCTGACTGCTTCGAGCTGGGCTCAGAGCAGGAGGCCGAGATGTGCGGGATGATGGCCAGACCTGGCGCAGGTGTGGAGGTGGGAATGGTGCCAGGCCCTCGGGATCTGGGGCCTGCCGTGGGCTTCGTAGGCAGCCAGACTCCCCTCTGTTGTCATGACCTAGCTCCGTAAGGCAAGGGGTAAACTGAGGTAGGAAGGGGACTTCCCAGAGCAAGTAGGAAAAGGTCTCTCATGGTAGAGAATAATCGGGGACCCATGGTGGAGGCCTTGAGTTCAGGCTGGGGACAGTGAGTACCTCTTCATTTGCCCTTGCTGACTGACGGACTGACCCTGGTGACTAAAACGAAGGCTGTGACCCTGGCTGTGTCTGCTGTGCTTCCCTGGGCCCTGATCCCAGCTGGACACCTCAGCCCACACCAGGGACTCCGGCTTTATTCAGAGCCAGAGGGCTGCTGCGCGGGTCAAAAAGGAAGCTCAGGGCACACGTGCATGCACACACACGGCGCGCACATGTGCACACGGACACATGGCTTTGTCCCCCAAGCAGATCTTGCTCTTCCACTAGGCTGATGGCTAGGCAAGGTGGGGGAAGGGCTGGTTTCTTCTCATGAAGGGGCAGAGGATAGAACAAGTGGGTGTGGGCGAGCCTGGACACTTTGAAGCTTTTGCTAGGCCAGGTCAGAAACAGCCTGTTCCACATGTTAACAAGTTCAAGAGATTTTTTTTTTTAATTGAAGTAAACATTTTCAAGTAGGATACAAATGTGCCTGCATTTTGAGGATCAAACACTGTACTTCAGAGGCGGCTGTGCCCCTGGCTGGGACTGCAGCCCGTATGCCTCCAGTCCACCTCCTCTCTGTCCTCGGGGTCACCGGGTCACTCTCAGCCTGTGGGCGCTGTCCCCCGTGTTCCTCCTGATTCTTCGGTGCTGCCGGGAGGTGTGCAGGGGCCGTGCTGCCTTAACAGTGATGTGCCTGTTGACCAGGTGGTCCACAGTGACTCACTAGCGGCTGGACAGTGTCGCGTGTGTTGGGGTACAGCAGGGAGCAAGACAATCATGGTCGCTGCTCTTGAGGAGCTGACCTGAGGAAGAGGTGGACAGAGAATTAAAAGGGTGCACACGCACACCCGTGTGTCTGTGTGGTGAGTGCGGGAGGCAGCAGAGCAAGACACAAGGTCACAGGAGCCTCGGAGTACAGGGCGAGCGTGGGCAGGGCGGGAGGTTTCAGCTGGGCAGCCCTGCCGAGGCCCTGGGGGACGCATCTCGGACTTGACGCTAGGCAGGGAGGCCATGGGCTGGACAGAGTGAGCAGGTGCAGGGAGGAAAGGAGGGCGGCCAGGTGGTGGGAAGATCCCTCTGGACCCCTGGGCCGTGAGGAGTTTTGGGAGCAGGTAAAGGGTTTCAGGACATTGACTCTGAAGTGCTTCAGACGGTCTCCAGGGCCTGCTCTGCCTGGAGACCTGAGAGGACAATTTTACCTCTGTGAGCCTCCGCTTCTGCATCTGTAAAGTAGGCTCAGCATGGCCACCCAGCAAGGTTGCAGGGAGCCCATGAGCTGCATGTTGGCATCTGTCTGGGATCCTGGGCCTTTTGAGGTGGTGATGGTGGGGTCAGGACTGGAGCTGAGCCTCAGGGAGCCACATTTGGTGTCAGGGACTTGTTTTCAGACGTCTGATCTGACTGTCCTACCCGAGACCCATGGAGAGAGAAACCATTAGAGGTGCTGCCTGTAGTGCCCTGCCTGGAGTCTCATGTCCAGCCTGTTGCTCTTACCGTGTTGCCTGGGCTAGTGAATGTTCTCTCTGCATCGTTGTCTTTGTCTGTTGCATGGGGTAGTAATGGCCCCTTCCTCCTGGGCCAGGTGCGCGGGTTACGTGAGGGATGCTGGGTAGATCGCTGAGAGGGGCAGTACCCAGTAGGCACTGAGTTTGTGTGACTGCTGCTGAAATGGTGACACGTTGAGAATTTACTGTGTGCAGTATGGCTGCGATCCCTGTGGCTGTCTCTGGGCCAGGCCCTCCGTGCCTTGTGCTCCTGTGTGCTGTGCGATCTCTTGTAAAAACTTAAGGAAGCAGCTACTGTCATCACCCTCGTTTAACAGAGGCCAGCCTTGAGCTCCCTGGAGTCAGGTGGATCAGCTCATCTGCACTTCACATATAAAGCAAGGCCTCAACTCCTGGCAGCAAACAATTTTAAGCCCTGGGCTGCCTGCATGTGAAGTTCTGAGCCCACCTGGGACTGGATCTCTGCCTTGGGAGCCTACGGGCCAGGAGCTGCGTGGGAGGGACCTGGGTGGGGCTTCTGCCTGATGATTATAAACATGGCCAGTTCCTCTGTTTGTCCTGCCCTCCCTGTGGTGCCCAGAGGAAAGGGGTGGCCCCGGCAAATATCCGGAGGTGTGCCCCTCTGCCCCTCTGCCTGCCGGCTCACACGCAGTGGCAGCATGCCAGGGCGGTTGGGAGTTTATGGTGGGAAGTGGAAAGGCAGCTACGTTGCAGTAGCCCCCCATCTCTACCCTGAGGTCCTCCTACTTCAAGGCCTGGCCCTTCCTACCCTGGGTTTAGTGAGAGGTCACGTGGCTGACTGTGTTCCCACAGAGGCAGGGGAGCCGCCTTAGTGCCCCCAGGCGGGGAGGGGGTTGTACTGAGGCAGAGCCAAGAGTTCAAGGTGAGGAGCTGGCTGCACAGGGAAGCCAGGGAGGCTGTAGGACCTGGGCCGTGGAGCCAGGGCTTTGCAGGGAGTCATGAGCCTTTAAGGACAGCTGTAGCAGCTGGAACTAGAAAGACTTAGAGCTGAGGGCAGAGAAGCCAGGAAGGGGTGGGACAGAGAAAGGTCAAGGCCACCAGGATAGACAGAGTGGAAGGCTGGAAGAGGGATACGCGGTGTTCAGGAGCTGGCACTGAGGAGAGACGCCCCCACCCTTCCCAGGGGTGTCCCACCCCACATCCAGATACCTAGGCCAGGGCAAGTGGACACTGGGTCAGAGGAGGAGCCCCGGCCAGGCCTGGCTCTGACCATCCACTGGCCCCTGGGGACTAGCTGAGACAGGTTGGCTGCTGGGTCCCCACCCACTTCACAGTGGGCTGCCACTGCCAAACCGGTTCCCCCACATGGCTGCCCATTGATGGGCCTTCCTCGGGCTGGGGCTGGCACCTCCCTCCCTCCCGATCTGCTCACATGAAGGGTCCTCGTGGGACAGCCAGGCTTGGAGGGGAAGGGGGCACTTGGCCACAGATATGCGGAGATCGACAGCACTGGGGGCCAGCCCTGTGCCTTGCACTCTACCAGGCATTGGGGAACCGCTGGGAATGAGACAGAAGTTCCCACGGCATGTTTCTCCTTGGGCTGAGGCCTCGACTCACCTGGCGCCTCTTCTGGGAAGTTTCCCCTTAGCCCAGCCTGCAGTCTCTCCAGGGCTGGACTGGCGTCCCTGGCATGCCAGCCCTGACTGCTCTGGGCTGTTACGGTCTAGGGACAAGTCTGTGTGTCCCAGATGGATCCCCAGGAGATCAGAGGCTTTCTAGGTTCTCAGCGTGTTCCCCACGCAGCCAGCAGAGGGCTGGGCACAGAAGAGGCTGGGCTGTGGATTGCTGGACGGAGCAATAAGTGAACATGTTGATCTTTTCCCTTCATCTTACAGATGAGTAACCCGAAACCCCGAGAGGAGACATCACCTGCCCGAGGGCACTTCTAGCCCAGCCAGCCTCAACCCAGGTCTGTGTGACCCTAGGACCCGTGTTTGGGACCTCGTAGGTCACGGCAGCATGCTGGTGGGCTTGTCCGTCAAGCCTAGCCCTGAGCAGGGCTCTCGGTTCACCCGTTCATTCCTCGCTGCAGCCCTGTCGGGTGGGGGCCTGGAGAGGCATGGAGAAGCCCCGTCACTTGCCCTGGGCCACTTGCAGCAGATGGCAGGGGAGAGTCGTCTTTGCCTGCCGGCTCCCCTCGGGCCCTTTGGACTTCTAATCAGAGAATGTACTCTGTGCCTGGGGCCATTCCAAGTACCCAACTGGAGACCAGCCCGTAAAGCTGGGGGTGTCACGGTGAGGACACCTGGGCATCTGGACCTCGGTACCCACCCTTGTCCTAGTAGGCAGTAGAGCCGGTGGCAAACCCAGGTGACAGGGATGGATCATGTGGGGCCTCTTGGGCCATAGCAGGGCTCTGGGCAGGAGAGGGTTGTGACTGACTTCTGGCTGCCTAGGAGGGGCCCACAGGGTGGAGGGCTTGGGCAGGGCCGGAGGACAGGCAGCTGGCCGGAGGCAGAAGAGAGTGGTACTGGTGTGGGTGGACGCCCACCTTCCACTGACCCCTGCCCACCGTCCCTCCTCCCACAGCGCCCTCAAGCGCAGAGGCCCTGGCACCATGTTCGGGAAGAGGAAGAAGCGCGTGGAGATCTCCGCGCCCTCCAACTTCGAGCACCGGGTGCACACGGGATTCGACCAGCATGAGCAGAAGTTCACAGGGCTGCCTCGCCAGTGGCAGAGCCTGATCGAGGAGTCTGCTCGCCGGCCCAAGCCCCTCGTGGACCCCGCCTGCATCACCTCCATCCAGCCTGGGGCCCCCAAGGTACGCCATCGCCCCCACCACCTCCCCTCACCTGTGCCACCCGAGTGACCCCCTGCCCTTCACCCATCCTTGACCCTGCAGCCAGCACCTCCTCACTGACCTTCCCCATCTGCAGCCCAGTGCTGGCCTTTCACCTTCCACTGCCCACGGGCCCCCAATCCCGAGAATGCCGCGCGCACCCCAACCTGCACCCCTCGCTGCCCCCACAGACCCCCACACCAGCCTCTAGGTCCTGGCCTCTCCCCACGGCTTATGCGCTGAGCTCTGTCTCCCGTTCCCAGCACCACATACCCAACCTCAAGCCTTCCCAGAGCCTCCTGGCAGTGGGGGCAGGGCCATTCCCGGATGGCGACAGCCCAAAGGGGTCGGCCTGGAATGGGGGAGCCCAGATGTGGCACCTGACCCAGGCCAGGGCCCCCAGTGAGCTTCCTGGAAGAGGGGACGCCTTAGCTGTGCCCAAGGACCGAGGAGGAGAGGGAAGTGAGCCAGCGGGAAGCAGGGCATGGAGCAGAGGAAGCGGCTTATGTGACACGTTGAGGCTTTTGGTTTTGTGGAGTTTCCCTGCTGTCTTGAGCAAAATGGCAGGGTTGGGACTGGAGCGGAGGCTGTTTCTGTGGCGCACACTCCTCGCCCTTTCCTGCCTCCCTGAGCGCTCGGGGCTGTGGCTGTGTGCACTCAGCACAGCGGTGCCGCACCGGCCAGCGAGGCCGGCTTGGGGCTCAGACTATCCCCAGCCTGATGGGGCCTGGAAGGCTGTGACCAGGCTTGGCCAGGTTTGTCCCTAGCTGGTGGCGAGGGGTGTGCCTGTGGTCAGCGGGCCGAGTGCCTGGGTGGGTCATGGCTGACTCACCCTCGCCGGGTGCCCAGGCCGGGGCTGGCAGGGAGGAGGCCCAAGCTCAGTGAGCTGACCATGGGCACAGTGCTGGGACTGAGGCTGCCACTGAAAGCTGCTCTGTGTACTTGGACATTTTTGCCACTAATTTTAAAAGCAGAATTGCTGCACACCATCATCCCGGCTTCTCCAGAGGCTGAGGTGGGGTACGGGGGTTGAAAGTTTGAGTCCAGCCTGGACAACTTAACAAGACCCTCGTCTCACAATGAAAGGGGCCGGGGCCGGGACTGGGGCTGGGCTGAGTGGTGGAGCGCGTGCCTGGGATGCATGAGGCCGGGGTTCGGTCCCTAGTACCAAAATAGAAAAGTAATAACACTGCTCAGCAAGCAGTACGCTTCACAGCGGAAGCTCGGTGGCTTCTCATGACCAACCAGCTGGTGCTCAGTGACAGCTGTCTCTAGGTGAACCCTGGCTCTTTTGGAGCCAGTTATGTTGTACCCCACCCCACCCTTGAACTCCGTGCCTGTTGGCTCCAAGGCCACCTACGTTCACACATGGGCACAACCATGCCCCTCCTGGTATCTGGGAGTTTAGCCTTCGCTCTGCTCACAGCCAAACGCCTCACCTGCTCCTGGTCCCCCAAGTGGCAGGGGTGTCTCACCCTGGCACTTGTGCTTGTTGTCCTTGGCCAGGAATCTCCCAGGCCCGCCAGGAGCCTCCTGACCCCTCATTCTAACACCACAGCCAGACCCTGTGTCTTCCTGCTTCCTTGGGGTCCCTGGGCTAGGCCAGGCTCCCAACCAGCAGCAAAGGCCTAAGAGAGACTGGGGCAGCAGCAGGCCACCAGGGCCTCTGTGGCCTGGGTGTGTGTTTGAGGGGTGAACGTCTTCATACCAAATACAGCACTGGTCCCACATCCCTGCTGGTCAGGGATCGGCAGCAGGCAGGGCCCACATTCCTGGCTCCCCACAGCTTTTGTCAGACTGCTTCCATCCCTCTTCACTGGTTCAGCAAATGTTTACTGAGCACCTTCTGTGTGCCAGGCACCATTCTGGGCTGGGATGAGCAGGACTGGAAGCAGATGGGGGAAAACGCTTGCTGCCCTTGGGATCGTTCGGCTGGGCAGAGCTGGGCAATGGCAGATGTGTGCGTGCTCTGTGTCAGCGGTTGCTGAGTGCCTGAGGTAAAGAGAAAGCAGGGAAGGAGGCAGGAGTGGCAGGAGCTGCTGTTTTAGACAGGTGCTCAGCAAGCCTCACTGAGAAGCTGATTCTCAACAGATGCCTTGAAGGAGAGGGAAAGAACATGAGGACGCTCGGGACAGAGTGAACAGCCAGTGCAAAGGCCCTGAGGGCATATGTCTGGTGTGTTTAAGGAGCCAGGAGGGGGCATGTGTGCTTGGAGCTGAGGGGTTACAGGGACCCTGGAGGCCATGATTCAGTGCCCAAGGGAGATGAGGTAGTGTCCAGGGAGGCTAAGGATTGGCTGGATCCAGGAGGCGTTTGCGTTTGCCGCGTGACCCCAGGACCCTCTTGCCCTCTGCTTTGAGCCATGGCCACTCTCGCTTTTCCTGTCCCCCACCGCCTCCTGCAGGGGAGCATAGAGTGTGGTTTTGGGGTTAACGACGCTGGCAGCCTGCAGGGGAGGAGGTGCTGAGCTGGGCCCTGGCTCCAGCGGCCTGGAATTTGCAACCTCCGGAGCTGATTACAGGGTGGGCTGGCCTCCCTCCCTCCCTCCCTGCCCCCAGCCAGGGCTCTCCTCTAGTCTGGGGAGCCAGAGAAGGACGGGGGTGTCACCTGGGCTCTGGGGTGACAGCCTGGCCTCAGAGACTGTTCCTGAAGTTCCCCTTCCTGTGGCTGTCACTGGTGGGGAGTGGCTGCAGGGTGCCCCGTCCTGCCCCCACCTGCCCACCCATCATCACCCCATGGCATTTCTTCATCGTGTCTCTGTTGTCTCTGTGTGTGTTGTGTTGTACTGTCTGTGTGTCGGGTGCACTTCTGTGTCCCCCTCCCTGCCCGGCCCCCACCCTGCCTTTGCCCTGGACCCCAGACCATCGTGCGGGGCAGCAAAGGTGCCAAGGATGGGGCCCTCACGCTGCTGCTGGACGAATTTGAGAACATGTCGGTGACACGCTCCAACTCCCTGCGGAGAGACAGCCCGCCACCCCCGGCCCGAGCCCGCCAGGAGAACGGGGTGCCAGAGGAGCAGGCTGCCGCGGCCAGAGCAGGCCCGGACAAGGCCGGCAGCCGAAGCCGGGTCACCACTCACAGTGAGGCGGGTGCCGGCAGTGGTGACAGGCGGCGGGTGGGGCCAGAGAAGAGGCCCAAGTCCTCCAGGGAGGGCCCAGGAGGGCCCCAGGAGTGCTCCCGAGATAAACGCCCCCTCTCCGGGCCTGATGTCAGCACCCCCCAACCTGCCAGTCTGGCCAGAGAGGCGAAACTGGTGCCTGGCAGGCCCTTTAACACGTACCCACGGGCCGATACGGACCACCCGTCCCGGGGTGCCCAGGTAACCTGTCCCCCAGGGCCAGCCCCGCGCATTGCTCATCCTGGCCACTCATGTGTCTGTGCCGCAGCAGCGGCGGAGCACTCCCCTCACAGCCTCCTTTTGCTTCTGTTGCAGGGGGAGCCTCACAGCATGGCCCCCAATGGGCCATCCATGGGGGGCCTGGCCGCCCCCCAGTCCTCTTCCTCCCGGCCTCCCGCCCGAGGCCGCGGTGCCCCCAGCCCTGGAGTGCTGGGCCCCCACGCCTCTGAGCCCCAGCTAGCTCCTCCAGCCCGTGCTCTCGCTGCCCCTGCTGCACCCCCAGCCCCTGGTCCCCCTGGTCCCCCTGGCCCCCGTTCACCCCAGCGAGAGCCCCAGCGAGTATCCCACGAGCAGTTCCGGGCTGCTCTGCAGCTGGTGGTGGACCCAGGGGACCCTCGCACCTACCTGGACAACTTCATTAAGATTGGCGAGGGCTCCACGGGCATCGTGTGCATTGCCACCGTACGCAGCTCGGGCAAGCTGGTGGCCGTCAAGAAGATGGACCTGCGCAAGCAGCAGCGGCGCGAGCTGCTCTTCAACGAGGTGGGCAGGAGTGGGGGCGGGGGGCCCCTCGGCTCCTCTTCTCTTCCCGCCGAGTTCTCTCGCCCTGGCCCGGGCCCCTGCTTCCCTCCTCTCATCCATCCTGTTGGGCCGTCCCCACGGTCTCCAGCGTGGGCTTCCGCCCTCTGTCCT